TGTTGTTGCTAGTGCCTGTGATAAAAAGGAAGGATTTATTGTATGTGGAACAGGAGTTTGGAAGTGTTGACAACAGTCTGTATTATTACTTTACTGGTGATTACATGAATGTACAAGTGTGTAAACATTCACCATGTTGTATACATTTAAAATTGGTGATGGTTATCATATAAGTTATGTTTCAAATGAAAACAAGGGATAAACAGACCCAGTGTCCTCATCTTGAGTGACCCTTGAGTCCCAGTTTACCTGTTGAGCTTTTTTACCTTCTCATTTTGGAAAGTCTTTTGGAGGGTGCACAATTTTTAAAATTACATTTATTGGTTAACGTATTTGTTTTGTGTTGCATGTGTGTGGGTGCATATGTGGAAGTCAGAAGATTGCTTGTAGGAATTTATTCTCTCCTTCCACTGGTGAGGTCCCTGGAATTGAACTCAATTTTTCATGCATAGTGGCAAACACCACCCACTGAACCAACTTGCTGGCCCTGGAAAAGCATATTGTTAACAAGATACTAACGGTCTTTGTTTTTATGGTGAATCTTTAAAGTGAGGATCTCTAAACTGTTTTCATGGGAAGCTGTAAATGATCTGCTTGCTTTATAATCTCATTGCATTTTGCCTTTTCTTTACCTCTTTCCCAACCTAGAAAAACTAATCGAGGGACTCAAATCTCCTGATACTTCTCTTCTGCTCCCTGACCTCTTGCCTATGACAGATCCTTTTGGCAGCACTTCTGACACTGTGATTGGTAAAATAGCTGTTTCTTCAGTCATGCCTGCTATGGGGTTGGGGGTGGAGGGCAGAAGTGCCCAAGTGCATAGTGGGAATCCAGCAGTCCAGACTGTTAACTCCATTCCTGCTACTCCAAATGAAGTGTCATTTTCTGCTCTCCATGCACACAACCTGTAACTCTGGTCTTTACTGATGTTCTGTGATTTCTTCAGTAAGTTTCATATGAATAAGGAAAAATGTGCGAAAAGAAAACCTTTGTGAAACAATTGATTTCTAACTGGTCTTTGGAACTTCACTGAATGTAATAGACTTGAGCTGATTCTTCTTTAGAAGGTCAATTCATTAATAAACACCCATACCATGAAGTCTGCCTGGCAGTTCAGCCCCATGAAAAACAAGGCAGTGGCCTGGTCTGCTTGCTCAGTTACATTTTTTTATGCTTCATAAGCAAAACATATAAACTTCCTGGATTCTTGGAGGATTCTGTCGTTAGACTTTAGTGCTAGCACTTGGGAATGTCATTACCTCACAGAAACGTAGGCCTCCATCTCTGAGACATTGTAATGTGCAGAGCCCTTCCCTGCTACATCGTGGGTAGGGTGAGGAAAATTTGAGGATTGTGTATTAGCTTGGAAGATGTTTATTCCAGGTCTGGTCATGGAAGGAGGGGAAATTGCTGAAACTAATGATGAATGAAGCTGTTTTGATCATTGAAGGCTTTTTTGATCATTGAGCCAGGCTGGCCTCAAACTCATGGCAGTCCTCCTGTCTCAGCCTCCAGAGTTATTGGATTACAGGTGTGAGTCACTATTGCCTGTCTTGAAGCCAGTCTTTCCTGACATGGAAGATTTTGTTGCTTGAAAGTTGCTTGTATCCCACACTAATTTATAGGAGCCAATGATCAATATGAATTCCTGATGGTTGACCTTGTACATGCATGCTCAGCCATCAAAACCCAGACACAGCAGAAATAGGGGCACAGGCTGTACTTTACAGCTTGCCTGAGATTTGTGGAATCAAGCCTTCACAGGTTTTCCTGAGCAGCCTCTGACTTCTTCCTCCTCTTATCCCTTCGTTTCCACTGTTAATGCCCTGGTACAAAAGAAAAAGCTGATGTTGCTGTTGAGAGTCTCATACCTGGACTGGAGCCACCTGTTGCCCAGCGCCTCCCATCTCAAACGGAATCTGTGACCTCGAACCGCACAGGTCAGTCAGGGTCCGTGTAGATGCAGAGCTGGTCAGTGCAGGAGTCTCAGAGCAGGGCTTCCCACCTGTGACAGATGAGCCTCAGTTTATTTGCATTCTGGTTGGTTTTACAGTGAATGCTATGAATTATTCTTACAGTCCTGGCTTCTGGATGTTGAGTATATCCTTGTGCTAAAGAACTGAGTACCTTTTGGAGCTATGTTTTTCTTAAGAATGATTCCTTGGTTCGCCCTGATTACAGGTTTTTGTTATTCAATATTCTTTTCCCAGCTCGGGATATAGCTCAGTGACAGAGTGCTTGCAGAGCATGCACAAAGTCCTAGGATCTAGTCATTCCCCGATACCAGAAAGGGGGGAAAAAAGACTGTCTTCTCTGGTAGCAGGATCCCTCTCCCTTCTTAGCAGAAGTCTGCTCAGATAAACGGCTGCCTCAGTATGTCATCCTAGTGGCGTTGGGCCTGTGGAACTCATCCCCTTCTGTTGATAATTCTTCACCAGATCAGAGCTTCATCCTCTAGAGGTGATTTTCTTTTGGCTTGTAGGCAACACTGAAATCATCCTTGGTCCAGTATTGCCTTTACCCTAATTTTAAATTTTCAATCTTGTCTGAGTCCTCCTTACCTTGGTAAGACTGTCTGCTGGTGTGCCTTAGGGAATGGTAAATTAATGCATGTGGCAAAGGCACAGTTCTCTTGGTCCTCACTTGGATGTTTCTCTCAGGAAACACTCAAATGTTTTATCTCTCAATTTTCCCCCAACTCTTTACAGAAAGAATACCGTATGTTAAAGGATGAAAACGTGTAGAGAATAATAAAGAGCAAGAGACATTTCGAATGGGAACCAGGGTTAGCACTTCAGTGGGTCGTAACTTTCTTCCTGAGTGGAAAAGTTAAGTGAGACTCTAGCCACAAAGACCTTTCTCCAAACAGTATCTGCTGAGACTTGGGTAGTTAAGTTACAGTGTGTTTATTGTGTAACCAGAAGTTTCTGAGCTAAAAATCTTATATTTGAATGTTAGTGCCAAATGTAATCTAGGATGCATGTTTTTGTGGCTAGAAGTTCGGAAAGCTTAATGTTTCTTTTGATTTTCTTTCTGTACCTTGGCTTGTATATATGGCCTGTAAATGCAATAATTTGAAAGTCAAGCTATAACCTCACCATATTGTTGTGTGCTGTTTAATGCCATCATTGCCTGGAATGCTGGTAACTGGACTCAGACTCTCTCACGGGGGAAGACTCTCTGCTTGACTGCTCTCTGCTTTCTAACCCTACTGCTGACCTTCTGGAAGAGTTTGCCCCCATAGCACTCTCTGCTCCCACTCATAAAGGTAAAGTCTTTCTTCTTGGACCCACATGTATCTCTGAGCAGAATTGCTCAGCAGCTCCTGGGGACTTCCCTTATCAAAAGTCTTTGTTAATAAAGTGTTCAAACTGTTCATTTCTGTACAAAACATGGGTTTTTAGTCTTAGGCACTGTTACAGTTCTTCTCAGAGTAGTAAATAGGCCCTAGCAACTGCAGACAGGTGCAGGGATCGCTTTCAACCAAGAACTGAGATACAGATATTCCATGTTACCCTTGGGAGCACATGCCTTAAGGACCAACCACCTAGATGGGTGGGCCAACTGATTAGCCTTAAAGTAAAGTCAAAGACAGGAAGTGGTGGCACATGCCATTTTATTCCAGTTAGGAAGCAGAGGCAGAAGCAGGCAAATCTCTGTGAGTTTGAGGCCAACCTGGTCTATAGAGTTAGTTCCAGGACAGTTTCTACACTTAGAAACCCTGTCTTGAAAAACAAAACAAAAGCAAAAAGAAAATGAAATCATTTTATAAAATCTGATTCAGAGTTTTTGAGTGTAAAGAAACACTTTCTTCAAAAAAATCATTCCTCAAAAATTGAACTTGTGAATATTTTAGTATTATTTTACCTTTGAGTCATAATTGATTACTGGGTTTCTCTCGCTGGTCCACCATTTTCACTTCTTAGTTTTGGCTTCATTTGGTTTGAGATTTTGCAGACAGAGTAGCTTGGATTAGGTTCTCAGGTCTGTTGTGGTGATAGCTTGCTTGCACACAGCAAGCTTATTTCTGTGACAGAGAGGTACTAGAAGATGAACAAGTTAAGCTCCTCCTAAAGGAAACTCAAGAAGTAAGCCACAGAGATAACTAAAACCAAAGCTCATGGGTCGCAGTGATGACAGCTGGTTTCGTTTTACAGCTGGCACAGGAAGTTACCTGTATAGACACTGATGGCTGGCAGGGGCATGTTGTAGCAATGTGTAACCACAGAGAAGCATTGCCTGCCACATAGTGCTCAGGCAGCATTGCCGGGGGCTGGCTTTAATTAGAATGGAGAACATGCTGGGCATGGTGGCACCTGCCTTTAATGCAAGCACCAAGGAGATAGGGACAGGCTGATTTCTGTAAATTCTAGGCAACTAGACCTATAGAATAAGAGTGTCTCAAACAACAACAACAAGCAAAACAAATCCAAAACAAAAAACAAACCCAAAAATGGAGAAAGGGGTAGCCTGAGAAACTTGTGCTGGTGGTCTCAATGTGTGTGCTTTTGTGACCCAGCATTTGAAGTTATTTAAAAGTCTTTTTTCACAAAACAAGGACTCTGGGCCTTTGCTTGCCCTGGTTACTTCTCTTCCACTGTTGGTTTTGGAGCCTGCGATCTATCTAATTTGGGACCTTGCACTTGCTAAAGCACACACTGCCACTGAACCATGCCCCAGACTCTACAGGTTCTCCTTCCCCAGCTTTGAGTGTTTCAAGCATTGTTAGTCAGGCCTCTGTTGACTTAATAAAGATATCAGCATTGCAGAGATACTTCACAACTGTTTGATCTCTACACAATGGAGAATTCTTAATTATGTATGAAATTTTAACATTATAAATTATAGTTTTTACTTCTATATACCTGTATTTTCCAGTTTCCTACTTTTATTTCAATTCACAAAAGTAAGTGCTTTCACCTTTAAGAATAGTGGTTGTTCATGGTTGAAGGCTTGGTGCTTCCTTCCTGTTCTCTCATTTGCTAATGTCTTCCTCTGTTGTTTCTGCTTGTGTACTTGCATTCTGTATTAAGCTGCAGAAGATAGTAATCTCATCTCAGGTTTTGGTGTCGCTGAGGGCTCCGAAAAGATGGCAGAAGATGAGTTTGACCCTATTCCTGTACTGATAACCAAAACCACACAAGGTAAGAACGAGGCTGGAGGAAAGAGAAAGCTCGACATCAGTTCTCATCAAAGCAGTGTCCCCAGCCTGCATGGTGAATGGGAGCATCACTATTTGGTGAAAGATACTGGAGGATGGCAGTCAGTGTAGGCTGGACCAGCATGGGAGGCAGGTGGAGATGCTGATCTCTGTAGCTTGAACCTCACTGACTTGGATTTGTTTAGAGAAAACTTAGTTTTTATGAAATGTCAAGCCAAAAAGAAAGTCTCTCTGATTGATAGAAGCCTGAAGGTCTATGTCAGAAGTATTGAATATTTTTATCATAATTAGAAAATATGTGATAGATACAGATTCTGACCAGAGAGCTAATGGTGACATTTTGGTGCCGGCTGTATCTGTCGACATTATGGAACGTCTCTTTTCTCTTTGGGTTGAGTCATGTGAGCATGCACAAAACACCAAAACACACCACTTACTCATTTTGAAAAGCATGTTCGTATTGCAATATCCTAATAGCTAATTTTCCCCAAAGTAAATTAATTTTTACTTTGTGGGAGAGATGGCTGTTTATTGGTAGGAGGCTAGCATGGTAGCCAGAACTTCTTGGGCAAAATGTTGGTTTGGAGCCAGCAGCATCTCTGCAGTGTGCTGCCTCTACTGTAGTGTGCATGGAATGAGCTGTCGGTGGGAGGTGGTGGCGCAGTGGTTATGTTTAGAAATCAACATGTAAGAATTTTTAAATATGAGATGTTGCTTCTCTGGGTTTCTTTGTTTTCCTTTTTCTCCTTCGCTTGCTCGCACATCTAACCTAATCCTGTTTTGTACTGAATCCTGCCTTTCCGCTTCCAGGTGGGCACTCTAGGAACAGCAGTGAGCTCTGAGTCCAGTCTTCCCAACCTAGCCAGGTCTTTGCTGCTGGTGGATCAGCTCATAGACCTGTAGCCGTGAGCCAGGAGCAGACTCAGTTCTGTAACCTTCATGCCGTAATACACATTTTCATTACGGAGTTATGAGAAAAAAAGATTTTTTTTTTAAATCCGCAAATAAGGGGCCCTCAAGCTCCCTTCTCCTATCCCTTGCCTTCTCCTATAGAAATGATAAGGAAAGAAAAGTCTCTGACCCTCCAGATCCATTCCTTGGCCGGCTCCTCTCGTTAGTTTGCTGTGTTTTCTCATTCCCCATCTTCAATAGCATTATCTTAACTCAAGCGCTAACTGCCCTGAGCTTCACCTCTGCTGGAATCCACTCACAGAAGCTTGACTGTCACTGAGCCTGTGATGGACACTTTTTGTCTCATTCTTGCTAGGAATGGCCCCCATGTCAGTCCTATAGCCTGTCTCCCAGATGCTGATGAATGTGTGTCCATTCTTGCTTTTTCTCCCGATGCAGTACCATGAGGACATGGCAGCTATGGCTGGTCTTCCCCCGGGCAGAAGTCTGGAGACAGGTGTGCAGTTTAAACAGGGCAAAACCCAATAAGATGTGTTTGTGAAGAGAAATTGGGCTCAGCTCTAGCCAGCCAACTTTGACCTTGTTTGATAATAGACTGAGCCAAGGGATCTTGCACCCCATGCAACCTTCTCGGCGTTTGTCTAGCTGTCTGGCTCCCACTGAATCGTGGTTTCTCAAATCTGGAGGTGTGACTGCAAGTGTTTGAGATCCTTGAATAAATGTGTATGTGATATAAATACCAAGCATTGCCATCCTTCCATGGCACCTGGCCCACGCTGGGATCTCAGAAGTAGACCAAAACAAGACAGTGGTGGGAACATGATACCTTTTACTAGAAGACTTTTCATGGGGGGTGGAGGGGAAGGGAAGGAATTGTAGCAGAAACAGATGTATTTTTCTTGTGATTTTTTATTTTGAATCAAATATTGTAAATTGTGTATAAATGAAGATGCTGAATAGTTCTGTTTCCACTTGGCATTTCAAGTCTGACATCAGTGTCTGTACAGGGGTTTGATCGCTTTCCCATGTATAACCGTATAGCACCTAGAGTGTAACACACAGAATTATCTTGAGTAGAGTTTATGTCTTGCTCAAAGCTTTCAGCAGGCCTCTGTCTCTGTATACCCGAGCATGTTGTTTACTTTCAGATCATCAGAAATAACACATCAGTGTTCTGGGCACAGTTTGGCTGGCTGCTTACCTTCTCTCTGGTGTTTAAGTTGAAGGCTGACGCTGATGGAATATGTGCGGTTGGTTTTCCTTGGCTTCCTAGATTTCAAAGACCAAACAAAGAGTAGTTCTTCACTAACCTTGGACTGTCATTGATAGAGTTAAATAAAAGCCCTGCACTTGCCCTACAACATGCCTCCTGGTCACCCTCTGTATTCTTACATCAAGGTGTGTGGAGAGCACTTTTGTAAAAATCACCCTTTAGGAGAGGAGCAGGCACAGAGAACTCCCTTCCTCCAGTGCCGTCCTCAAGGGTTGGAAGGGAGTCCATCAGATCTGTACACATAAAACCCCAGATCCCACGGCTTGCTCTCCACTACAATGCTGTTTTTTTCTTGCTCATATTGCACTTTACGTGGTGGGGAACCAGCAGCAGCGCAAGCCTGCAAACACTGCCCTCTGGAGGGCCACTGTTGTCTCCAGCAATGTGACAGCAGGAAGAGTGGACACTCTGTCTTCCTTCTGACTTTAAATACTTCCTGTGTCAGCTGAACCTAGATGAGCTGAGGAAAGGCCTCTGATAGAAGAGATGCTTTCCACAAGTGAGCGAGATGCGGTGTACAGCAAGGATGGAGATGTCACGAAGAGCTCTCCACATGTGGGCTGAGGGAAGCAGGACTTGGTTAACCCCTTGGTGGACAGGAAATGGTTGTGTCCTTTTTCCTGGACATAGAAAGAATGTATAAACTAATGAAGGAAATGTTTATTTTTAAATAAGGATAATGTTTTAGGTCTGTGTTTTCATATTTGTTTTTTTTCTCATATAAACATTAGCAATATAATGAAATGTCTACTTTCCAAGTTTAATTGCAGCTATGAAGAGTGCAGTCTAGAAATTAGGTTAAGTGTCTCTAAACCATTCTTCCGTGTGTCAAGCGTAATTATATTGAGATATATTGTATAGTCATTTGGCTCAATAAGGCTTAATAGAGACACTAATGAAAATTCACAGACTATCGCCAAGGAAGATGGTTAAAGCTTGGGTGTGACAGCTAGAGACCTGGGGTGGTTCTTCAGGAATAAGCCTTTGCCTGGCAGAGCTGTTCTGTTGAGGAATACATTCTAGTGACTTGGTCAGCGCAAACTTCCTTAGATCAGTATCGGCCTAAGCTGAGGGAGTGACCTGAGAAGAGCATGGTGTGTGCTAACTGGAGATGCATGGGACAAGACTGAACTGTAAGCTGTAAGAGGCGCTGCATGCCTATTCACTAGCCCATTTAGTTTGTCTCACTGGTGTGCACTGAGCTGCTGGTGAAGGCAGGATGGTGAGAGAGGGGGCCAGGGCAGCTCAGGCTTCTGGGACCTCATCTAGACCCTGGCTTATGACCTTGAACATTTTAGTCCTCAGAGCTGCTGTTGGCTGTTTACACAGAATTAATCTGGATAGGTGCTCTGTGAGACAGCAGAAGCATAGTATCATTGTGCTGCTGTGTTTAGAAGGACTATGAAGGATCATACAATCCAGATGTCCTTCAGGTAGCTTCTATGCGCTTGCCATTCCTACAGCTTCCTTCAGCATTTACTCACAGAATTAGAATGAGCAGTTACTAACCTTATTGCTACTTGCTAGTTACCTAATAAAAGCCCACATCATCAAAAGCTTGGAGATAGATTTTCTTTCTTTAATATTAAGTACACACAACCTTACCTATTGCAGTAAAACAGAATTCAGAGATTTCTATTATTTTAATCTGTATAATCAGGGATTTGTTGTTAAAATATGGGCAAATACAATGTGCACATTTTTTTATTTGATCTTCTCTCTGACAAGTGGAAGTAATTATTGTGCCAGAAAGTATCACAAATTGGTATTTTCCCCTAGAAAACCAAACTTAATTCCCAAAGTTTCTAAAAATACGGTTCTCAGAGGAGATATTTTTAAATGGTCACCTCTAAGTAGTAGTATAATTATTACAATGATTTCTGAAGTAGACATATCAAAAATGTTTCATGTGGTTGAATGTTCCCTCCAGAAGCATCTGACTTTGCTTGGGAAGGGAATGGTGATCCTAGGCAGGCTAGTGGCATCTGAGTTATTTAAACTCTTGTTCTTAGATGTAACATGACCAGATATGGTAGCAAAGACATGGCTGCATTTTCCCAGTAGCCTCGCTCACAGCATATTCTTATCTGTTTTCCCCACACCTCTGCCTTTGAGTAATATTGAGCTATTCCAAAAAGCAAAACCACTGGGTGAGATGAAGAGCAATTACCACTGAAGACACTGAAAGCCATAGGCAATTTCTAGAGCCAAGAGGGATCTCACCATCACTCTAAGTAAGGGATAGTTTGCACTCCTCTGGTCTTTAGAGTATTTAAAGATAACCCCTGAAAGAGGTTGTCATTTATTCACATTTTATGTTGGACTTGGCTCTTCCTGATCAGATCAGAATTCTAGAACTTGGATTACTGATCACTGAAGATTTGATATTTTTGTGGTTTGCAATTCTCATTTTCTACGCTCCTCCTGATGAGTGTTTGTTTTGATTCAGACCAACATAGCCTTCCCCCAGGTGATTAGTTCTGCCTTCAGCAGTGCTGTGGGAATGAGGAGTCCTTAGATGGGCCTGGGGGTCCATGCTCAGCTGAACAAAGGAATGCTGTAGACACCTTTGGCCAAGCCAAAATCCCTGTGACAAGGCTTCTCTGGCATCTAACAGTCTTTACCTTCCTGCTCTGTAAGGTGACCCACAGTCTGTTGCCACTGACATGGAGTCTAGGGAATGACAGCATGGCTCAGAACCCTTCAGCAGATGAGAGGCTGCTGACATAAAGATTACAGTGAGGTTGTTGAGTGAGACACTTCAGATACTGCAAGCTGATTCATAGCCCTCTCTAGAGACTCATTTACCAGTGCAAAATTAGACCTTTCCTTTCCGTGATGATAATGTTCCCCAAGTTGGATGTACTTGGCTTTTGTGAACTGAATGAGTCCCAGTTGCCTTCCATTTCAAAGTCTTTAACAAGATCTCCTATGTAGTTTCCCCTGGGTTTCCTTTCTCTAAGAGGGAAGATTGAGGCCTTTTGGCTGCCTGGGTAATGCTAACTTATGCAGAGTTCCCAAAGGTTGATAGGAGGGAAGTCCTTCGTTGCTTCTCGCTTTGATTCAGTGTCCCGAATTCACTATCTGTGGGTACTCTCCTCTGCCCTGTTGTACATGCCTTTATCACATGGATGGATTCTTACCTTAGGTCTTTAACTTGTCTTCCCCAGGGAAGCTAAGCAAAGTGATGTAATGAAGCTATCTTGTGCAGTAAAATGTGAAAAATGAATACTGCTTCGCAAGTATTGTATAAAATAAGTCTGTAAACAAATTTCTTATGTAAACATACAGAGGAATAAAGCTTTTATCTGTTCAAACAAGTGCATGATGTTTAGATGTGTAAATAGCTTAAGGTAGCTGTCCTATTCCTATGAAAAGACTTGAGCACATTGTTTAGTGGCTGCAAATACCAGTGTGAGCAGCTGTGCAAGATGTCCTGAGGTTTAGTGAGTTATGACCACCCTGGGGAATGAAGCCCATCATGGTCAAGAATGAGAGGCCTACCAACACGTCAGCCAGGATCATACTTAGGTAACAAAATGGCACCAATTAGCAGCCGCTGTCCTCTAATTTAGTCTTTAATACACTCTGGCCAATCAAGTAAAATGCCAGGATAGCAAGAATGTATTTACGCCCAGGGAGAAATAGCTCTCTTTAATTGTTCCTGGCGTCCGGCCGTGGGCTTTTTCACAATTGCCTACCATAAGGGATAACAAGTGCTGGGGTTACCATGAACACCAAAGGTTGGAGGAATCTCAGGCTGCTCAGCTGAGGCCACACATCTTGTTGGGGCATTTTGCTTCTAAATCTTGATACCCAAGCCATCACTTCAGACTTTGACAGGGCTTTGTTGTTGACGTTCCCTGACAGGTTCCCTGTCACCATTGTTTCAGTTCGAGTGTAGAGACAAGTAAAGCTCTAACACACACTACAGAGTAGCCAGCCTGAGATTTAAATCCCAGGTTTGGGGCCAGTCAGATAACCCATTGGGTAAAAGCACCTGTGCCAAGCTGATGACCCGAGTTAGAGCCCATGGGGTGGAGGTAGGGAATCATCCTGTGACCACTGCTTGAACACTGTTGGCACATGCTTGTGCATGCACACAGTAATACATTTTTTAAATCTTAGATTTGCTTCTTTAGGGAGGACTCTAATGACTTCACTGTCAATCAGATAGCATTCCTGGGGTCAGTCATGCCCAGGATTGCCACACTGGTCTCCAAGACAGTGCAGGGAATGGTGAAGATGTGTGAGCTTGTGCTGAAACCTGTATAACTTATGGCCTCAAAACCATACAGAACTAGGTGGGGTTATTTCTAGAAGTTTTGAAAACAAAAGGAAAAAGGATCCAGCTTGAGGGAGTTACGAGAAAATACCTCATGGTGAACAAAAGTCTTGCACCCCTTGAGGCCTGGTCCTGGGCTAGGATGACAGGTGAGAATTTTTGTTGAGTGTTTTTGTTCTTTGGTTACAAGGTATCTGCTGTCTGTCATTTTTAACCAAAAGAACTTGATCTAGCAGAGGGGAAGTTGGGTGAATCCTTCCCCCTAGAAGTCAGGCTCCTTCAGAGGTAGTCTGCCATTGGCTCAAGGTGGTTCCCACTGCAAAGGGTATTCACCCCTAAAAATACCTACAAGAACACATTCACCAAAAAGGTGAACAGTAAAATCTTTACCTGTCGGTAGGATTCTATATGCCTCTCCCCTCAACTCTGTTGTTTGCCATGTTACCACCACCAGAATTCTCTGGAGTCATAGACATCTGGGTTCCCCATATAGTATTTCTTTGGCCTCCAAAATGCTAGGCCTAGTTACTCTGCCTCAGTCACACTGCACCTACAAGAAAGATTGAGAGACAGACTTTTCAAGAAGCCCCATTAGAGACATGTTTTCCAGTCAGTGAGATCGAGGAAATTGCTGTGAAACTTCTTTTGAATAATGAGAGGCTTTCCCCTTCATACTTGATGCTATGGCATTTTATGACTCCACAAATTTATTTATTTATTTATTTATTTATTTATTTATTTATAGCCAAGTTCTCACTATACAGCCTGAAACTCGATGTGTCAATCAGGCTAGCCTTGAACTCATAGATACCAATCTGCCTTGATGTTCCAAGTGCTGAATTAAAGGAATGAATCACTATACACCCAGTTGATTTTGAACTTTTTAAAGCTGTTGGTATTTTAAACATAAAATATCTTACTATTCACTTCAAAAGACAAAAGAAGATGCCCTGAGTTGGTGGGTTTTCTCCTGTGTTCTTGACTCAAAGCCTTGTTGCTACTTGACAGAGAGTTTGCATGGGCTGGGCATGTCCCATTATGGATGAGGGAGTTTTCCCTCGCTGCTGCATAGGCCTCTGAATTGCATTGACGGCATCAGGCCCTGGGTCTCCAGGTAGATAGCTGCCTTTTGCAGTCTGTATGTAACTTGGTTTGAATGAATCCAGTTTCAGTTCCCTCAAGTCACTGACTGCAGTGAAAACTGTCATTTGATGATCTGTCCATACAATACCAGGGTCGGCCAGTCATTAGCTTGACCTGCCCTTCTGTCTCTCTGTGCTAAAGGATACTGTGCTCTGCTGTATAGCCAGCTTAGAAGCACCAGCATTCAGGTAGTTTTGGAAAGGAGAGGAAGTGCACCTGAGGCTAATGTGTAAGAGGGAGGCCTATGGACTCTTAGGAGCCTCTTAACATTTCTTGGTGAGCTTTATTTTGAAAGTTAGTAGTTCTACCTACCCCACCCCGCCATCATTTAGTTCCCTCAGAATTTGTCACTTGGGTATCTCTGAGATGAATCTAACCTCATTTCTCTTGCCTGATAAATTAGAATTGTGTCCATATACACTGTGAGGGAATAGGAAGTCTTTATTTCCTACTGGTTTCTGTATCAACACTTCACTGCACTCAGCAGAGTTACAACACAAGGAAAAGTTCCTTCTCTTCAAAACCACAACTTTCAGATGTTACTCAGAAAGCCACACTGTACCATATAGAATTCAGCTTAAAATTTGAATTTTGAAATAAAAATGGGAGAGGGAACCTGAAATTTATTTATTGCCAACTGATTAAAATGAAGCACTGCTTTTGCAAAGTTACAGGATTTAAAAAAACAGTACTTTTGTATAGTGTCTTTTAATAAAATGTTCAGTGCCACCCACCCACCCCACCCACCCTGTGTTCTCGACAGTGTAAATCCTCAATAAGTAACCAGTTTCCCTATAAACTCAGCTTTGTAGCCCCTTCCTCTGTGCTCTGTGTGCTTAGTTCAAGCAAGAATGTTAGTAGCCAGCAATGTATAGCAGAAATTCCTGTCTGGCTAGGTATTCACTGGGGGTAGAGGTGGGTGGGGGGAGAGGGCCCAGATGGGGAGGGAATAGCCAATAGCTAATATCCTCGTGGGTTGGGCCATTCTGGTGGTATTTCTTTTTTGAGCCCATAAAGAAATATATTTTGTTCCCACCCCCACCCCAACTACCCTCTGGATTCTTCTTGCTTAGTTACATATGCCTTTTTCCTACCCTCTTGCTAACATGTGCCCAATGACATACTCCTAACCTGCTAATATTTCTTGGAAGGTAAGCTCTGTTGCATTCTGATAATTGTCTATTTGATTTTAAAAGCCAGTATACCCAGAGGCACCTCTACCTACATAAGCACTTGCGCTAGTATCTGGAGTTTGCTAGTAGTTCTGCTTAAAGAATTCAATGGTGGGCTCATTAAAGAGAACTTTGCTAACCTGGGACACTAAAAACAAAATTGTAGGGCAACTCCAGCCAAAGTTAATGTCATCTAGTGTGACTCAGAAAGTATCCTCAGTATTTGCATCGGCATCACTTGCTCTGAGAGTACCATTTGCAGTATGTCATCAAGTAAGCGTGCACTTACTGACACCCGAACTCTGCTTGTCAGGGAGTCTGTCCCTCTGCACATGGAACACATGTCAGATGCCAGTTAAGCTCCTGCCCAGGAGCCCAAGTCACCATAGCCCAAGTCTGTCTGGTGTGTGTGTAGAAGAATGACTGGGCTGCTTTCATTTGCCTCTGAGCCAGGTAGAGCAGGCACCCATACCTGGCCTGCAGTAGGAGTGTTGCCTCGGTGCCCTGAGTGTCGGTGTGCCTCACATACTCACCTTTCCTGCCCATTGTGTCTCTCATGTTCCAAAGTGTGAGGTGGTGCTTGCTCTTCAGTCTGTGTGCATTTACCTTGCTTGACTTTTTTATTTTTTCTGTTTTTCCATTGTCAACATCCATCCTTTGGTTCCACAATGTGTCTGCTCAGTTGAATATTAAATTTTCCAAAAAGCTCTGAACCAGCATCCAAATTAATTCTAAATTTTATGCTTTTCTAGGTCTCCAGAGAGAGCCCAGTCCTTGTCCTGTAATTACTGTAGAGCACTTTAAAGAATCCATGGGCACCAAAGGCCTCCCCCTTTATCCAGATCCCAGCAGAGCTCCTGGCACAAAGACTCAGAACACCTTAGAGTCTGATTCTCTGGCCCGCGAGGGTCCTTCCAGCAACAGCTCCTTCCATAGCAGTGAGGAGGAGGGCACTGACCTGGAGGGGGACATGCTGGACTGCAGTGGGTCTCGGCCTCTCCTTCTGGAGTCTGAGGAGGAGGATGAGAGCTGCAGGCCTCTCCAGGAAAAGCTGGGAGAAGCCACCCTGTTCTCTGAATCTGGGGTGTCCACTGAGCCAGAAGAAAGAGGACAAGGTGGGAAAAATAGCCAGTTCGTGCCAATCAACCAGCAAGCCTCAGATGATCTCGGGGAGCCTGATGTCTTTGCTACAGCCCCCTTCAGGAGCTCTCTGGTTCCAGCAGACAATATGGACATTTTCTCCAAAGCCCATTTTGTTTCCAAGGGCAGTGTAGCTCCTTCCCAGACGGAGGAAGTGGATGTGTTCTCCAGAGCTCCTTTTACCAAGAAGAGGAGCATGGATGAGTTCCTGGCTGTGCAGGGCTCCTCGCAGGATTTGCCGATACAGGCCAACCTCAGTCAGTCCAGCGAAGGGCCCCTGCTTGGAGGCCGAGATAGAGCCCTGTACACCTCTGCACATGCGCAGTATCCTGTGACTGGCTTTGCACCACAGGCTGGTCTCCCCTCCCACTCTGTCCAGGTGGCAGACCATTTTGACACCAACTCTCCCAGGGGCTCTCCCCTGAGCTCTGGGAGCCATTCTAATGACAGAAATAGAGGACTGGAGCCCCAGAAAGAAGCCTTTTCAGGGCCAGCGGCTGGCAAGCCATTCTGCCCCCAGGCCTTATCCAAATATTCTAGACACTATAGCCCAGAAGATAAGCCAAGTCCAGAAGCCCAGCCCATCGCTGCCTACAAGATAGTTTCACAAAGCAATAAGCAGCTGCTAGCTGGCTCTGTGTCTGTCACATCCCTGTCCTCCAGGACTACAGAGCTGGCCACTGCTGATCCTTTTGCTTTAGCACCCTTTCCTTCAAAAGCAGGCAAGCAGAAACCCTAGGAGCAGAGACTAGCATGAGGCCTGCCTCCACCCACCCCACCAGCACCCATCACACCACTCCTGGCTGGCCTTTCAGGGAGCAAATCCCATCCACTGTGACCTTGCAGTTCCCCTGCCTCAGAGCAGAATCACTTCAAGGCAACTAGCCAAGTTGCTGTGTGACCCAGCAGAAGTTCCTTATGTCACACTTGCAGCTTTTGTTCTTCGTTCCCAGGCTTGTGGCATTTGTGTCACCTTCGTAGAGGCCTTCCAACGCACTCAGAATTCTGATTTTTTTTGCCCGGAAACCTTTTAAATCCAGGAATAGTTTACCCCCAGTTAATGGAGGCTACATTATACCATGACTTTGAATTCCTACAGCTTCTGTTGGAGTCACTTGCATTGAGGAATTAAGATTGATCCCTCCAGGACTCAACAATACTCTTGGAACAGAGAGATTTCTAGATAGAAGAGCAATACAAGCCTACTGCACATCTGGAGGAGTTACTCTTCCGGCTACTCATCATTCATTCCTATGGAGCCAGCAGCTCAGAAGTACTCTGGGGTCTGTCACTGAGTCTGAGGGAGCCACGCTGGCCCTGAGTGCATGCTGTAGGTCAGGTTCCCTGTCGTGTAAAGGAGTAGAGAGATGTGAGAAGTGCTCTGCCTCCCACAGTCCACTCTTCAGACTAGTGTGGATGCTTGCTTGCTCATGTGTATAAGAACCCTTTGTCCTCTGAGTGAGACCACCATGCCTACCTCCGTTATCAAATCACTCGCTTTCTCGAAGTTGCCTGTTGACCTGACTTGAACCTTGGCTTTATTTAGATTTTTCTTCTCATGGTAGAATTGAAGTTGTCGGACAATTTGGGGCAATCCTGCTGGAACTGAGGTGTCAGAGTGAATTTTTTAAATTCCATTTACCTGGTTTTGAAAAATCAATTTCCTAAAACTGGACATGGTAGGTACCTCATGACTGTAATCCTAGCACTTGGGAAGCTGAGGCAGGAGGATTGCCACAAGTTAGAGACCATCATGGGCTTAATACTGAATTCCAGGTCACCATATCTCAACACCCTTTCCTCTCAGCCAAAACAGTCATCGGTCCTGTGTTTTCCTGGCAACAGGGGAAGAGACTCTTCAGAGGTCCAGCCACTGGGAATTCTGCCTGGGTACCACTGTTGTGAAATTCATTAATCAGGAGTCCAAGCCACAAGCTAAGTCTGCCTGTTTTTTCCCCAAACCCTTCCCATACACCTCTACTGCCTCGTAAGTGGGTACAGACATGAGACCTACAAGTAAACTGAGACTGGAAAAGAGCTGGTCAGTTGTCCTTGCAAATCTTTACATGATCTGTTCCTTTCAGGTGTTAAAGTAGAGCACACAGGTGACTGGCCGCGTGTTCAGAAGTACGTTTTTATGTCTGGACGGCTCTGACTCTTTCCTAGTGTTTTTCATGCCCTTCATTTTTACTGCCTTAAAATAAGCCCTGACTCCATGGGGGCGTTCCACTGAGGAAAGAGTCGGCACCAAGCCCAGGTGCACACTCACTGCTTCTCATAGACACTTCCTCCGCCTGCCTGGGAAGTGTGGAGAGCTGTGTACCAAACTAGATGAGGGATGTAAAAATTGCTAGAAGGTAGGCACGGTAGCATGCCACTGCAAGCAGGGCACTCAGGTGGTACAGGAAGAAGGAGTTCCAGGGCAGCCTAGACTGCATGGCACACTGTCCCAAAAGAGAAAAGAAGAATTCCTGAAAATCCATCCAGGACTGCAGCCTGGATGCCAGGCCGCACTTGGAATCAATTATTTGTGATAGCCTTTAAATTTGAAAGTAGGGGGTTGGGTGCACAACTCAGCAGAAGAAATGCATGCTTAGCATGCACAGTGCCCTGAGGTCTATCATCAGCACACAAAAATAATACAGTAAAATCTAGACATCTTGACGTGACATAAGAACGGCTACTTTTTATGGTGCCAGGCACCTTTAACCCCAGAACTTGTGAGGCAAGGACAGGTGAATCTCTGAGTTTGAGGCCAGCCTGTCTATATAACAAGTTCCAGGCCAACCAGTGAATGAAACCCTGTCTTTAGAGAGGGTATTTTTTCACTACTTTTCTTCTCAGCATTCTCCATCTGTTTAAATAACAGACAGTGTGTCAGGGCCAGAGCAGCACCATCTGAGGATTCCATCCACCAGAAACCTGTCTTTCACTTCAGTAAAGGCTAGATGTTATCTTTAGGAATTTGCTTTCTCACAGTTATTATTTTTGAATTTCCTGTATAATAGTGGATACAAAATTGTCTTTCTATTAAATAAGTAGTTTGACTAATGCACATGGAACTTTGCAACCAAACTTCCCAGGCTTGTCGTCAGATGAAATCCTCCAAGGCATGTGCAGAAGTAATGGCGCTGTTCAGAGAGCCCTTGTGTGATGCCGCAGCTCCTCCTAGGTAGCAGCACATAGCTGTTGTCCCAGCTGCTTAGGAGGCTGGGCCAGAAGAACAGCTTGAGCCCAGAATCTCATGGCCAGCCTTGGCAACACAGATGGACCCATCTCTTGATGAGAAACTTGAGAATGGAAGGTCAACATCACCTCGGTAACAGGCTACAGACTTCTTCCTTTGATTACTGGATTGTTCTGTCTAATCAGTCATTTCAATTCACAAGGTCCAAATTAGAATAAAATCATGGATTCTTTATCTTATATAGTTTAATCATTTGTGAAGTGTGGACTTAGGGCCTCTTTTTATTCTTGCTGGAGATCTGAGTGGAAAGTCTATCTACTATCTTTGAATAGAGGATAAATGTGACCACATGTGGACTGTTTTTTCCTTACTTAGTGATTTGTGAAGGAAATCTGACACATGATAACCAACAGATGAATTCTGAAGGAGGTGCTGGAAAGAATCTGGATTACAGGATCAGTGTGTAATTTAAAGATCAGGTGTCCTTGTGGGATGCCATCCTGAGTGGAAATACAGAGATATTTGTTTTTTTATAGGGAATTAAGAGTGCTTAAAATCTGTGAACAGTAGTGAGTTCCTAGTGACCATACTGTAACACTTACTAACAAGGAAGAGGAAAACATTGTCAACAAAGCACTGCACTTTGTTTGTTTTAGTTTCTGCTGTGTGTTCGTCACTTTGTATATTTCATAGGAAACACCAGAGACTTTGCTCTTTTGACTCAGTAGACAGAGATGAGCCAGAATATCCTTAGGCAATGCCTTACTCTGTGTCATGTACTAATCAACTCCTAAATGGTGTGCTAGGCTGGGTGCATAGCTCAGAGATGGAGCCGGGCACAGTAGAGGCCCTAGGTTTAGCCCTATTAACTGACTAATGAACACTGTAACAGAGTTAGCGTATGTGTGACCGATTTCTTAGATTACAGGACAGCTCTTTAGCACCAAATCCATGGTTAGAGTCTAAACAAATGAAATAATGAATGAACTTCTGTGGCATGTGGAGGCAAAAGGCAGCTTAGCAAGATCTTACTATCAAACTTTAAAGCGGCTTGGTTTATAGTTAGGTGGTAGAGTGCTTACCTAGCACGTGCGACCACTGGGTTTCTTTAACTCCAGTCCCGGGAGACAGCACAAGATGCTTCTGCCATGTGATGGTGAGCAGTCTCACCAGAGAAAGTGAACAGAAGTTGGTGCTGAAAGCAGATTTCAGTTCATACAGCCTGTTTTGTCCTGGCTTACTTGTGGAGTTGAAGACCTATGTACTGGCAGATGCCCCAGTGTGTGTGTGTGTGTGTGTGTGTGTGTGTGTGTGTGTAAAACAATCTTCTACTCACTAACCCATGGTATGTCTCTGGTTTTTTTTGTTTTTTGTTTTTTTTGCAACTGAGTTCTTCTAAATGTCAAGAAAGTGCTGCTTTAGCAGCCTGTTGTATATTTATGTGTTGGCGTCTGTGCTTGTCAGTGTTTTGAGCTAGTCTTCACTAGTACGTGTAGTATTAGAGTGATCTGATGATAAGAAATTCTGTATTTTTATTCTGTAAATGAGAATAGTCAAAACATGTATCAAATTGTATGATATATACGCATTACTTCAAATAGGAAACTTAAAATGGAAAACCAGGGACCAGGAGATGCAGTGCCCTCACTAGCAGTACATGGGCAACTTCCAGTGGACTCCATTTGGGTCCCTCAAAAGTAGAGATGTGGCCCTCTGTGGTGTCTTTGACATTCAAACTTTAGATCACATCCCAGTCAACTCCAGAATGGCTGCTGGTCCCAGCATTTCTATCAGCATCCAAGTTGTTTTGATGGACGGTAGTTTGCAGAAGAACAGTGGTAAAGGCAGGAGCACCTTGCCTTCTCATGGCCACCCTGCTTCCCAGCCCGCCAGTGCTTGCCTAAAAGAGCAAACACTGGGATTATAAGTAGAATCATGTCATTTTGAGTTTTTAGTTTTGAACCATAGCCTTTGTCAATATTTGTTTTAACCACCAGCACACTTGAAAACTTAGTAAAAAACTTCATTAAAGAAAAGGTTTCAAAATGTTTAAAATTAAAAAGTAGTGTCCAGTTGTAGGTGGTTTCCTGCTCTGTCCCCTGGAGATCTCCATGCTCCCTTTCCCCGTTGCTGCTCTCCCTTAATTGTTCCCCCAGCATTCTCCTGGTCTCACCAAGCAGTGGGTGCTCAACAGTCATACTCACTCATGGCTGTTTTCCTTGCTACTGCTGTAAAAGGTCTGTTTAGGACTCAGGCCAGCCTTGACAATCTAACAGTGAAGTGGAATAAAGGACAGAGAGAGTTGGCAGGACCCAGCCTTCCTAGGACATGGGGAGGAGCTCCTCCCCCGGTCCTCCATGGCTCTAGAATGAGCACATAGGTGAGAGGGCCTTAGAATAGCAACACGAGCCGAGTGCTGGCCACGGGGATACATGCCTGTAACGGAGCAAGAGGCTCGCTCTGAATTCAAGGCCTGCCTGGACTACATAACAAGACCTTATCTCAAAACACACACACACGCTAAATATTAACTACATGTGGTTTAGGCCAGTCTCTGTAAGTTTTGTCAGGTATATTTCAGCAGCCTCTGGCTTCAGCAAGTGCGCCATAGTTCTGACTTGATAGTGAACAGTGAACATGGCCTGTACTGCCTTATGGTAGAAATATATATATGCATGTGTGTATATGTGTATACACATGTGTATACACACATACATACACACACACACACGCCAGAGGGATCAGATTCCTTTTGTCAAGGAATTTCAGAATGGATTTTTAAATACCAGTCAAGGACAGGTTAGGGTTGGCTGACACCGCCTGCTCAGACTGTGTGAGGTGAGGACCCTTGCTCAGTCGCCAGCACCTTCACTTTGAGACAGTAAAATCCTCTACTTCAGAAACGGTGAGCCTGCTTTGTTCTGCAAGTCTACCAAAGATTTTTGTGAAGAGTTTCTCAGCGCAGACATGCATCCTCCTGCTTCCTTCATGGTGTTAACTCCAGCCCTTCCAGTTAGTCATCTGAAGAGGGCTAAGAAGGGACCACAGGCAGCTGGCACAAGCAGCTCGGTTCCCTTTGCCAAAAACCTCCCGAGTTAGAAATGGAGTTGTTTGCATCTGTGGTGAGGGAATTGACCAGCCGTTGCTTCAGACTCCTTCCCAAGTAAGCACCTTCTTGTGGTGGCACTGGAAGGACAGTGGTGACCTGTACCACAGAGCCTTCAAGACGTTATTTTGAATGGAACATTTGATGTCATTTTTAGGGAAAAGAAACCAAATAACAGAGGCCAACGACCATGCGTATTTCAAGGAGGGAAGATGAGCGCCCTCTGCTGGCAGTATTTGGAGTTGATACAGTGAGGAGCTCTAAGCAGCCTGGAAGGAGTGTTGAGGTCAGCAGGCCTCAGGAATCCTTAACATGCAAACAATCTTGAGGGGAAACCAGAAGGTCATTCCTAGCAGTCATTGTAGTACCTCTCATTGCAGGCTGTTGGATTTATGTTGTTCACTCTGTGTGGTTTATCTTATGTATCTGACAGTTTTTATGGATAATTGTTTGGGTTGTAAACTCCTATACTCTTTATTAAAATGAACCTAATTAAGAGACTAAGTTGTGTGTTTTTTCTTAAGTGGGATCTTTTGGGGATGAAAGGATCCCTAGGCACCTGTCACCGGCACAGAGCCTGTGACAGATTCTAATCCTCCAGAAGCCAGCGTCCACACTGAGAGGCCCACAAGAACCTAGGACATTTCAAACCCCTGTCATGAGGGAGAACTGCCTACACAGTTCCAAATTTGAAGCAGTCAGAG